CAAGCTTACAGAAAAATTTAAAAATCTGTAACATATTACTAACAGCAAAATCAGCCATTCAGTTGAAACGTCACCTAAGATATAAAACTCAAATTGCCAAATTAAAGCAAAGAAGCCAAAATCTGTATAGTTTATACTAAGCTAGGGAATTCTATTTATATAATGCTTAATATTGAACTTATTTTAGACAAGAATTATTTAGCTCCTGAATGTACCTCTTGCTGCTGTGGTTCAGTATTATTGAGCTTTTCTCCTATTAAGTTTCGATGTTGGCTTCCTATGATTTATGATGGGATTAGCTTGAAGTCAATAAAGGGCTGTTCTGCTGAGGTTCTGTTTACTGTTGGCTATTTTACCTTTACCTTTTATTGCTTATTCTCTTCTGGTGGCAAATATATTTTACCTTTACCTTGCCTCTCTTATTCTCTTTCGAGCCCTATTAAAGGAATAGGAGAAGTAAGAGAGAGAGAGAGACAAAGTAATCCCAGGCAGTGTAAATTCATATTCAAAGGATATTTGCAAATAATCGAATGCAATCTGTTTTGCAACTTTAAAACACCCTATTCTAGAAAGGACTGTTTGAGTAATCATGCAGAGAGTTGATTTGGTCAGCCTGTTTCTAGGATTCATAACTGAGATGCTTTTATTCTATCTTGAAATAAAATGGAATATTCTCAACAGACACGTTGGCTGACAGATAAATTTAAACAGGTATCATGATTAGAAATCTCAGCCTCCAACTTCAATTATAACATGTGATCGATTTACAAGATTACAGAAGGCAAATGTCTGCCAGACAGCCAACCATCGTTTGAGATTACATTTCAGCAATGAAATCAACTTGTTGAGAGCACCCCTGCATGTATAATATAGATGTGAACTATCTGTCTCCACATTATAATCTTGATGATTTCTTGTATGAGCTGTAAGGAAAGTCCCTTATGAATAAACCTTATGGTTAATGGTGACTTTTGACAAATTCACATTTCACCTGTGTAATGGTCTAAGGAGACCCTAATTCAGTGAAACTATATCTCATCACTGTATATTATATCAAAGATATTGTAACATGAAAGAAAAGTGTTCATTATCAATAGATTAAAAATATCTATGGTAGAAGTTCAGTTCACCCTTGAATATTGGGGATTTGAACTGTATAGATCCACTCAGATATTGATGTTTTTCAGTAATACTACATGATCCACGGTTGGTTGAATCTATGGATATGGAATTGTGTATGTGCAGATTTTTGACTGTGAAGGGGTGGCACCCCTAAGCACTTCAGTATTCAGAGCTTGGCAAACCCATCATGAAGGTAGACTAATTACTGCTCAAAAGGCAAATGACAGCTACAGCTTTCTAGGCTGCACGAGTAGAATGGTCACATTGAGAGAGTCCCTTTCAAGTTCCACTAGAAACAAGTTCAAGACATATTGCAATTGTTGCTCGGTCATCACATGATCTTGATTATTACAAGGCAGTTAAGTATAGGAGCTGTGTGTTCAGAAAGTCAGAAAGTCAAGGGCAAGGTATTAGTTGGTATACGGTTAATCTTATATGTACACTTGTCTGGGCCATAGTGCCCATATATTCGGTCAGACATTTTTGGGAATGTTTCTATGGAGGTGTGTGTGTGCGTCTGTATGTGTTTGAGGGAAGAGAGAAATAGATTTAATTAGCACCAGTAATTCCAAGGTCTCCCCCATCCCCAGGTGACAGCCATCTTAAATGGGTTAAGCTACCTTTTGCATGAAGTCACAGGATCTCAAAACTGTTTTACCTTATTTTCAATGGGGACAGCAAGTTTACGGACTTACAAATGCCATGATACAAAACATTGGTACATTCTCATTTTTTGAAATTATTGGAAAACTGATTTCACAGTTTAAAGGAGAATATACTATAGTATCTAAAAGATCAATTTTAGGGGTAATAACTTAATACCTAATGCATCTGAATCTAGCTATAAGTGACTCATTTGAATTTACATTTCTTATCTCTGGAATATTTCATTCCACAGTTTCCAAGACTAGGGACAGTTACTACAGGAACTCAAATCAGATGGTCATTCCTAAAGGCTTCTATGAGGCTGATTTTAGGAGAGATTTAAATTTAATTGGTGGACTTGAATAAAACAGATTACCCTTCATTGCATGAGGGTGGGCCTCATGCCGTCAGCTGAAGTCCTAAATGGAACAAAAGACTGAAATTCTCTGTCTTATCAGTCAAAACACCTTAGTGAAATGGAGAGAAGTAATTTACCTGGTAAATAATTCAAAGTAATAATATTTAAGCATGGTCACTGTACTTGGGAGAGGAATAAATAAACAGGGAAAACCTCCATTATGAGAAGAAGATATAAAAAGTACCAAATAGAAGCCACAGGACTAAAGTTTATAATATGTGCTTAGTTGCTCAGTAGCGTCCAACTCTTTGTGACCCTTTGGACTGTAGCTTGCCAGGCTCCTCTGTCCATGGGATTTCCCAAGCCAGAAGAATACTGGAGTGGGTGGTCATTTCCTCCTCCAGAGGATTTTCCCAACCCAGGGATCGAAACCTGTGACACCTGAGCTATCAGGGAATCCAAAGTTTAGAACAACTGATGTTAAAGGTATTTACACCACAGGGGCTCAACAGCAGACTAGAGGAGGCAGAAGAAAGACCGATGAATGTGAAAACAGAACAGTGGGCATACCCTATCAGAGCAGTGAAGAAGAATGACAAAAATAGTCAAGATTAGCTTAAGGGACTTAAGGGACAATATCAAACAGACTAACACTGGCATTATGGGATCCAAGAAGGAGGAAAGAGGAAAGAAAAAAAAAAAAGAGGCAGAAAGCTGATTTGAAAAAATAATGGCTGAAAAGCTGCCTAACTTGGAGAAGGACATTCATGTTCAGGAAGCCCAGAGAGTTCCTAATGAGATGAAAACCGAAGAACCCAATCTATATTCAAACATCATGAGAAACGCTAGGCTGGATGAAGCACAAGCCGGAATCAAGATTACTGGGAGAAATATCAATAACCTCAGATATGCATATAACATCACCCTTCTGGCAGAAAGTGAAGAACTAAAGAGCCTCTTGATGACAGTGAAAGAGGAGAGTGAAAAAGTTGGCTTAAAGCTCAATATTCAGAAAACTAAGATCATGGCATCTGGTCCCATTACTTCATGGGAAATAGATGGGGGAACAGTGGAAACAGTGTCTGACTTTATTTTTTGGGCTCCAAACTCACTGCAGATGGTGACTGCAGCCATGAAATTAAAAGACACTTACTCCTTGGAAGGAAAGTTATGACCAACCTAGACAGCATAGTAAAAAGCGGATATATTACTTTGCCAGCAATGGTCCATCTAGTCAAAACTATGGTTTTTCCAGTAGTCATGTGTGGATGTGAGAGATGGACTGTAAGGAAAGCTGAGCACCGAAGAATTGATGCTTTTGAACTGTGGTGCTGGAGAAGACTCTTGAGAGTCCCTTGGACTGCAAGGAGATCCAACCAGTCCATCCTAAAGGAGATCAGTCATGGGTGTTCATTGGAAGGACTGATGCTAAAGCTGAAATTCCAATACTTTGGCCACCTCATGCAAAGAGTTGACTCATTGGGAAAGACCCTGATGCTGGAAAAGATTGAGGGCAGGAGGAGAAGGGGATGACAGAGGATGAGATGGTTGGATGGCATGACCGACTGAATGGACATGAGTTTGGGTGGACTCCGGGAGTTGGTGATGGACAGGGAGGCCTGGCATGCTGCAGTCCATGGGATCATAAAGAATCAGACATGACTGAGTGACTGAACTGAACTGAAAATGTCAAAATTAAAGACAAAGGAGAGAATCTTAAACACAGCAAGAGAAAAACAATCTGTTATGTAAAGAAACCCCCACAAGACTATCAGCAGTTTTCTCAGCAGAAAAATTGCAGTTAAGATGGAGATGGCATAAAATATTCAAAGTACTGAAAGAAAAAAACTACTATCTAAGAATACTCTACCTGGAAAAGTTGCCATTCAGAATTTAAGGAATGGATGAGTTTTCCAGACAAGCAAGAACTAATCAAGTTTGTTATTAAATTGGCTTCACAAAAAAATATTAAAGTGACCCCTTTGAGTTAAAAAGGAAGGGCACTAATTAGCAACAAGGAAACACATAAAAAGTATAATTCTCACTGGTAAACGTAAATATGTAGAGAAGGTAATGAATTACTTAGAAAGCTATTATGAAGAATGAAAGATAAAAATGTTTTGTAAAAATAACAATAACAATTTGTTAAGGGATACATAAGATAGAAGGATGTAAAACATAACATCAAAAAGATAAAACGTGGTATGGGGAATAAAACTGTAGAGCTTTAGATTATTTGTGCTTAAATTATTATCAACCTCAAATATAGAGTTATAAATGTAAGTTGTTATATGTAAGCCTCATGAGAACCACAAAATAAAAACCTAAGGAACAAGAAAAATCTCTAACAACCTAACTTTACCCCCTAAGCACCTCGGAGAAGAACAACAACCTAAGCCCGAACATAGTAGAAGGAAGGAACTCACAAGGATGAGAGGAGTAAATGAAAAAGAGACTAAAATATAATATAAAAGATAAATGAGATTAAGAGATGGTTCTTTGAAAGGGCAACTAAAATTAACATTATATATATATACACATATATATATGACACCTATATAAAAAGAAGTGATATCTTTATATATGCCTAGAGGATGTTTTTCATATGTGTAGTTTGGCATTCTGTGTAAATATGGAGAATTTTTTACCCTGTATATAGTTCCTATCAATAGATATAGCAAAACAAAATCAAATCTGAATCATTATTTACTAAGCACTTGTTGAACATATATTCCGTGCCAATCGTTGTATTAGGAACTGGATATCCAAAGACAAATATAGTTGCAATGTTTCTGCTGAATAGAGAAGTCTCTTCTAATTACATATTTTCCTATCTACAGTAAAAGTTTTGACATGTATTTTCTGATCTCTTTAGGCTACATTCTTCTTGTTATAACTATCAGATACAAGATTATCTTGGAAAGGGCAATCTTCTAATAAGATAGGTAAAGCAGACAAGTAGTTAAAAAAGTTGTAATCTTAAATCATCTATGTCTAAGATATGTGATTTTTGATAAGAAAAAAAAAAAACAACTGTTAACAACACTGAAGAAAATAATATCACTCCTTAGTTATACCACATACAACAGAGCTAAGAAGTAGATTCATAAAAACACTGTGGAGCTCTATGCCTAACTGCTTAGCATAACATGTAAGCAAAGAAGCCTTGTTTTTTGGGAGGGGAGTAAATAGTCTATGTTTAATTTAGTAGGACTTTTACATTAAAAAAAAAATATCACTAATTGCTGAAAACTCTAGGAAGGATCCTGGATCCTTCTATTAGCTTTGCCTTAACCACTCTCAGTGGATACACTGTCCAGAGTTTCTGTCTGTCTGTCTGTTTTTTCATAAGGGATCTCATTTGCTTCAGTGAGAAACGTTGCTGTGTTCGGTTGAGAATCTCTTCAGTGGTGGTGTAATGATCTGGACACCAACTGTCTAGAAGTTAGATTGCTGGAGTTCACATCTCTGTTCTGCAACTCAGTAGTTCATGGCCTTGAGCAAATTGCTTTACATCTGTGCTCCACATCTGTGGGATTGGGGCAACAATTCCCTTACCATAGAGTTTCCTTATTTGGATTGGGTTAATATTTGTAAAGCACTTAGAATAGCTCTTGGCCGAGTGCAAGGGCGATATGGCCTTGTTAAGTGAAATATATGAATCGAGCAAGTTACTAATGGACTCAAAAAGTGGACCGGTTTTCTCATAACTCAGACATAAGCGTTACTATTCCACAGGAGTCAGTCTTGTTAAATAAATACTGACACAGAGATTTCTCAAGACTTCTTTTACCACCTCCATGCACATTTAAACAAAGGTTTTAAAGAAAAAACACAAGTTCCTTGTAGTTGGTCTGTCTGTACTCATTCCGTCCCCTTTGGATTAGCTACAAAAATTCATCCTGAACCATAGAGACGGAGTAAGTGGATTCCAGTGCCTGTAATAGTCACAGGCTCTGGGCCTTTCCAGGTACCTATTATAGATAGGATAGATAAGCCTAGTGGGAACTTCAGTATTAATCAATTGTAAAGATATCTTTCCCAGGTTTATGCTGCAGGAACTGAAAAAGTTTCTCCTTTGGTGGCTTTTCAGCAACTTCTTTTGAGGATTTCTTGAAGTTACAAAGTAAAGGTGGCCTTCCCCCCCTCTCCCCTCCTCCCTCCCTGCCTATTGCAGTTGTTGACATTAACTTCACTGATACTTTTGTATTCACAGATGCATTCAAGGAGGACTCACAGCAAGTATCCATTTATGGTTAAATTGTTAACTTGAAAGGGAGGGATGTGATGTTGTAGTTTACATGCTGGGTGTGGGGGGTTTCTTTTTTCTTTTTTTCATTTAAATTTGTTGCAGTTGTTGGCCTATAGCAGTGTGAGATGAGATTGGTTGCTGCAGTAGCAAAGGACTGTTTTATTGAGTGTGGAGCTCCCCTTGCCCATTCTGCTATTGCTAATACAACATTAATGCTCTCACTAAATCACAAAAACATCAAGTAGAAGCTGACACTGGAAGTGTTTATAGATATTCAGCAATTAGCAGAGGCCAATAATTCCTATTTATGGAATAACAAATAAAACTTAAGTGATTTTTTTAACCTCAGTATACTTCAAACAAAATATGTTACACATAAGTTTTTGATCTTAGGAAATAAACTGTGTTAGATCTTATGTCCATAATATACCTTCTTTATAATTTATCCTCACTCTAGTATAACCTTTGAAAATAAAGTGGACTTGGCACAGGAGATGCATAGCATTGAAAGGACAATCATATTATCAAAGAGCCAGAAATACATTTACACTTAAAGGCTTATTATGTAATTAGAGTTCATATTTTATAACAGTGGAATAACAAGAATAATCTGGAGTAGCTAGACATGTTTTTGTTTTTTATTTTTCTTTTTAGAAATAGTAGTATTTCTTTTTATTCTTGGTTCCACATTTCAAAAATTACATTGTCTGCATTTTGAATTAAGTGAAAGAGTTGAGAAAGGTCACTTTTTCTCCTTTGTATCTCAGAAATAAACCAACTTTTAGTAAGTTTCAGATGCAAAACAAGAGGTCCACCACAGACATTTATTTCAACAGAGTTATTTAAGATTCCCCCTTTCTTAAAGTGCTCTAGGATTCAGATGGGTGACTATGGGCTAACACCATCTTTATCAAGTATTGTCAAAGGTTATAGCTGGGGAAGCCTTTGCTTGTTGAATGGAAGAGGTATCACAGAACTGAGCAACTGATAATACTTCGATCTTGAATTAGGTTAGGTCTTGATCTGCTTCTAGCCAGTTGATCTCTTGAAATATGTGGGCTGCGTGGTAAGTTTTGGTTGCTCTATGATTTTCTTCTTGCTTCTAGATTTCATATATTCTCAATTTGTTTTAGAGATCAATCTTTTTTCTTTGGAATAAACCAGTGTATATAAGGGAGCCCAAAAGGGAATTAATCAGTTTTGGTGCATATTTTGAAGACATCTTTACAAAACATATTGCTCTGAAGTTAGGGTTAAAGTGACACTTTCCACTAGGATATTGCAGAGGACAGCATTCCTTCGGGAGAAAGTAAGCATCCTAAGCATTCCTCTCCCAGGCATCTTCCCTCAGGCACTGAGACTGCAGCTGTCCAGTACATGGAACAGACGGAAGGAAGAGGCTTCAAGTCAAATACATTTCAACAGCTAATTTTTATCCAGTCTGGCAATGAGATCTTTCCATTCTTCTCTCTTCTTTGTGATGTATGTAGGAATAACTAGCTGCAGTAGTGATTCTGGCTGTTGCTGAAGAAGTTCTGACACAAGGCCTCAAGTGTTACATTTTAGGTACATCCCATAGTCATACCTGTTTTGTTGAGCAGGGGCTTTCTCTTCCACAAAGGCCAGTTTCCTTTTCTGCCTAAGAAAGTCTCTAGTTTCTCTGCTACCTGCTTTGTATGGAATGAGTCACTGTTACTATAAGAATCGTAATGAAAAAGGCCATTTTTATCTCGCAGATAAACCAAAAAGCTCCAGTGGTTCCCCCAGCTGTGTGGTTGGAATTATCATTGATGGCTAAAAATATAACTCTCTTATTGGGGAGGTCCAAGGGTTCAAGGAACATGGCAATCTCTGCTGGGCTGCCCGTGCACTTGATGAACTGAGCGACTTCGGGGCTGGTGGAGCAGACGTGGTCAGAGCAGTCCTGAAATTGACTGTAGGCAAAGTACTCAAAGGCTAACCCAATAACATGGACATTGAGCCAGCTTGCAGAATCCAGTAGTGAGATGTCTAATTGCCACAGTAGACTGTACATGTAACTCAAGACTACTGGGTCCATCTCGTATTGACCAGAGCTGCTCAGAAATTCCAGAAGCTGTTTTGGAGCTCACCANCTGCTTCGGGCCTCATCACCCCTACCAGCCTCCAAGCAGCTCTGTACTGGCCGGAAAAGCCACAATGTAAGTTTTGAACAATTTCATCACCTCAAAAAAAACCCCATATCAGCTAGCAGTCACTCCGCATTCCCCAACTCCCCATTCCCCAACCTCACTGTCCATCCACTGGCAACCCCTAATGCACTTTCTGTTTTTTGCATATTCTGTATATTTCATGTAAATAGAATCATACACTATGTATTCTTCTGTGTTTGGTTTCTTTCAATCACATATTTTCAAAGTTAAGCCATCTTGTAACATGTATCAGTATTTCACTCTTTTTCTTGACAAATATTATTTTGTTGTATGGCTACATCATATTTTGTTTATCCTTTCTGTGTGTGTTCATTTGGGTTATTTCCACTTTTAAGCTATTATGAATAATGCTTCTATAAATATTATGTACACATATGCTTTTTGGGGGGTAAATTTTACTTTAATCAAAACCACAGAACATGAGAAGACACTGGTTCAAACACTATCAGCACGACTATGATAAAACCAACTGGTTCACAAAGAGGGAGAGTAAGAATATGAGTTTCATTTAGTTTTTAATTGAGAAAATTGTACAGTCACAAGTAGTCACAAGAAATAATACAGATCCCTTGTATACAGTAAGTCCCCTACATACAAACCTTCAAGTTTCAAAATTTCAAAGGTGCAAATATGCATTCACATGTCAAATCAGGTAAGATAATTCGTTGTGCATTGTCACATGTGTCCATCCCTTACAAGGAATTGTGCCTTTGTGTTCTTTACTGTACAATACTGTATGCAGTACAGTAGTACAGTATCTGTATTTCAAGCCCAGGATGTCCACAAGCAAGCATAAAAGCAGTGGTGCTGTAGTTGATACTTTTTATGGTACTACTAAACTGTAACATTAAAAATACTTTATTTCTGTTTTTTATGCATTATTTGTGTTGAAAGTATTAGCTGATTGTGTTATTTGGGTACCTAGGCTAACTTTATTGCACTTCTGCACAAATTGGATTTATGAACTTCAGTCTCAGAAGGGAACTCAGAACTCAATTCCTATGTAGGGGACTTACTGTACTTCTCCATTTTCCTCTAATGGCAGCATTCTGAAAAACTGTAACATTTACATTACACATCTAGCTATGAACACTGACACAATCTACCAATCATATTTAGATTTACTCATATTCATTTAGCTTGTGTGTGTAAATCCATATAATTTATTACTTATGAGATACTATATCCACCACTACTGTCCAGACACTAAAATATTCTAGCACCACCTGGAGTCCTCTTATCTTTTTAACCACACTCACTTTCCTTCCCTTCCCTCTGCCCCAGTCCTTGTTTACAATACTATATTCCTTTATCATGATTTTAATGTCAGTGGAATCAGTAGTGAAAACTCTTCTCTCATTTTGATATTAGTAATCTATGTCTTCTCCCTCTTTTTTATCTTTGTTAGCTAGGCAGATGTTTATCAACTTTTTGATGATTTCAGTGAACAAACTCTGGTTTTGTGACTTTTCTCTATTGTTTTCTTGTTTTTGATGT